ATGCCACTGAGATACCAAGTCTGGTCAGAGGGGAGAATTTACTATTGGCTTCTGTATTGGGTGGTTTTAGGAACTCTTTTAATTGTGAGGGCAACAGCTGTATTGGAGAGTGGAGAACAGGAAGTGAGGAAATGGGAGCAGGGTGAAAATGGAAGCAGAGTTTTCTGGTGGGTAGGGGAGTCATGAAATGGTGAAATATCCAGAGAGGAAGTATATTTTAAGGGAGTGTTTGATTTGGTTTTATTTTTAAGAAATCTTAGTAAAGACAAGTTTAATGCTGATATTTATAATTCAATACATCAGAATAGACTGATGATATAGGGGCAGTTGCTATTTTGAAAGGGAAAGTGCTTGGGAAGGTAAGAATTAATGGTATCTAAGACACAGGTAGTTGGGCTGGTTTTAGAGTATGAACTGGGACAATTACTATATTCTAATAAAAGAGATGGCAGAGAAAATCAAAACAGATACAGATGGTTTGGTAGAATTTGTGATACAGAGCTAATGAGTAAATCTTAACTTGATTGCACATATTTCCCTCTCTGAAATATGTTGTGAAAGAGAAATCAGCTGAAAAATAGAGAATGGATGGGGAATCATAGAAATTTGAGGAGAGAAGAGGAGGTATAATTACATCTCAATTAACTGGAATTTTTTTATACCAAAGAACAGCTGTGGTATTGTCTGGTAGGGATGAAAGCCCCTGTGAAATTTTGACAATGTATTGGATGTGAGTGCTGCAAGCAATGTGGTGAAATTTTATCCATTCAGCTTCTCAGGTGAAGCTGTAAAGTATGATGAAAAGAAGTTTAATCAAGGTTGGAGTTTTTTTAGGGGAATAAAATGAAGAAAATCGAGGACATGTTAAGAGTGTTTGTAAGAGAAATGGATATAGTGCTTGACCAAGAATAGGTTAAGGAGGAAATTTTCAAAATGTCATGAGTGGGAAATAATAGCTATTGAAAACGGTGCTGGAGTCAATTTATGTGGAGTCTCCACAAGCTTGAATAATTGGTGAAGTAAGAACACTAGAGTAGTTGCACTGAAAAATAGAATGTAGAGGTCAAAAATATGAAATCAAAATGTTATGGGATAGAAAAATACATAACAACAAGATTTAGGATATCATCATGTGAAAGGATGGTTGGATGGGCAAGAGAAAATACCACTGACATTATGGAGACTGAGAAACTGAGATGTTAAGGTGTTGATGAAAGCACAGCTGATTTGGCTGAATTCTTCTTGCATGTTGGCTCTTTTCAGTCCAGTTTACATAGTTGTGACAGTAAGAACTAATTACAGGTGTCTAACTCTTGATCAAATAGAAATTGAGAGGTAACTTATGCTTAATTATTCTGAGTCTAGTTACTAATCACTCAATATTCATATCTGGGTCAGAAATGCCTGGGCTGAATTGATCCGTGAAAACCTTGATTTATTCCATTCAACCTGGATAAATCTGAAGGACCACCACAAGTGGTCCAAGCTTCCCCTCAGTAGCTTCCAAGTTTTCGACCAGCAGAAGTTAGAACATGCCTAACTTCATTAAGCCTCTATGCAGTGGTCCTGGGATTAATCTTAGCTAAGTGACATCCAAGGTTTCGTGCTTAAGTCACATCGAAGTAATCCCAAAGTGACTAATAGCACAATCAATAGATTTCTCCTGAGATTTGCAATTTCTGTGAGAACTAGAGAACTAGACATAAAATATTTAGAAAAGTGCCTGTGATACAGTAGTGAAAAATTGATAAAAACTATTATTATTGATGAATATCCTCACTTTTGAAGCTTACCATAATGGGCATCTGTTGGTTTAACCTCTCTAGAATTCATTTACATTTATTTTGGTGACAATTCCTGTTCTCCTGGTTCTCATTGTTAATCTAGGTAATTTGTTGTGTGTAGCTACTCAATCCACAGCTCTAGGGTGGGCCCAAGACCCAGAAAATTGGCTGAGGGATAGATATATGACAAAAATTGCTCCAAAAATAATCACCGCAGGGATTTAACTGGAACTAAAGGGAAAAGGAAGCTGTCTTTCTCTTAAATTTTTAAGCCGACTGAATGTATTCATCATGATGCATTTTGGTTACGACAATCAGAAAATCCTGACAGAATAAGCTGATAAAATAAAGAAAAAAATCTTACATAATGTGTGAAATCCATAGGTAAAGAATTCTCCAGGGGCATGTAAACAGCATTTCTTTGCATTCCTCTTGGATTTTCCTCTCCCTTTGTTTCTTTTGTTTTTCCTCAGTTTATTTACCTTCTGGGCAATAAAATCGCTATATAAGTTATATTGTCTTACAACATCATAGAGGCAAAACCTTCTTTTCCTTGAGTCTCCTTTAAAGACTTTAAAGAACATTCCTAGAAGACTCCAGTAACCTGCTCAACATGCCAGAATTGCAACACAAGCTTATTCTGAAAACAATCTCTGGCAAGGGAAATGGGGCCACTAGAGTTGGCTTAAATTCATCAGAAACTTCCCTTTTCTTGTGAAGGAGTGACTGTCTAAAAAAAAAGACTGGGTTAGCAAGGAAAAACTGTACATAGCTAGGAATAGGTTATCATAGTGTCTGCTCAATGGCTGAGAATAAAGTCAGTGCAGAAAAAAAACCAATAACAGTTATGGAGGGATGTCCACATACAGTATTACTGAGGAATTTATGGATGACATGAATCAACAAATTCTTTTCATACTTAAGCCCCGTAGGAGCCAAATTCTATCGTCTACAACTGAAAGTTCACTGGCTAATATGCTTACTCAAAGCATTCCTCTGAATCTAACAGGTCTTTAGTTTTATCCACATGAACTATAAAAAAATCCTTCAGAATTTCCTATCTCTGCTCTACTAGCTATTCTTACACATTCTCTTTTTTCTCCTTTCTTGCCTTGTCTAAGTGGTTCTCTTAACTTGCTACTTTGCTGCCTTCATGTCTACCTCTTAAAATCTTAACTTTCCTTCATAACTATGTTTCAAACATCATCTTTTACTAGTGCATTTCAAAAATATCTTAGTTTAGCATGGCTTTTACGTAAAATCCAGGGCAACTCTCTGACTAGCATTTGAAATATGTAAATACATGCAGGATACTAAGATTTAGTATAAGAATAGCCTTGGCAATAAATATTTTTAATTAGTCTCATAACTCAGAAGAAGAAAACAAAATTAGGAGAGATTAAGTGACTTGCACAATATCTAAATTAGAGCTTAGGTTTAACAACAAGATCCATATTCTTTCCCTCTCTGCCTCTCAGGTGTGCCTCACTGCACTGCCTCACTGTCATGTAGTCTCTCGACATGTGAATTGTGTCTCACTCAGTTTTTAATTCCCTACAGAGCATGTATTATGATTTGCATATAATAGTATTAAATAAGTATTTGGCTAATTGAACTGCTTGGGTTATATGTAGATCTAGATTTGTCAATGATTGTTGATTGGCCAACAGCAGATACGTCTTAATATAAGTACAGATAGGCCAGTAGTATTGATCTTTTAAAAAGTACATTCTGTGTATCAAAACCAAATTTCCAATATTCATTGTCCCCAATTTGCACTGACTAAGCCATCTATGCAGCCTCTACAAAACAAGTAAGATAATTTGACAAAGATCATGTTTCAACACACAATTTCAATGAAGTAAGTACCACATACAAGGAAGAGAAGATTACAAGAAATTAATATCATTTCCTCAAACCCAGAAGTTGAATACTATTTAAGAAAATAGTAACCTCATGCTGTGGTAATAGACAGGGAAAAATTAGCATTAATAGCATATTTATGTAGAGAATTAGTCAGATTTCCTATAACTATGCTGCTTGAAATCTGAAGAGAGAAGAGGTAGAAAGAATTGTCACTCCATTCTAAAAAAAAAAAAGCCTTCAATAAAAAACTAGATTTTTAACCTCATTTGATTTTTGTCGGATTATACTAATATTAGTGATGTTATAAAGTGGAGGTCCTTTGTACCAGAGAAAAGGAGGAAAGAGATAATTCTCCTTTACATCATCTATTTGGGAATTAGTAAAGAAAAGGATACTTGCTCCAATTTTTTTCTTAAAGTCTGAGATTTAAAATGTCCATCATCAATATTAACACAACTAAGCCCACTGACTTACTGATGAACAGTATCTACATTATGCCATATTGTCAGAATTCACTTTTTTAAAATGAAATGTTTAAAGTAACAATTAAATTACAATCTTTCGTATTTTTCTCATGTTTTCTAAAAACTCAAACTATAAACAAACCAACAACAATGCTTCAAAATGTATAGAAAGAGCTTGCACACTATTTACAGATTCATTTCTAGAGATTAATGTATGAACAACGAGAAGGCAACAGCAACAAAATAGGAGATAAGATACTACCTCTTCATTGCTATTATTCCAGGAATTTGTGATTTCAACATAGAAGTCTGCCTACGTGCCTTAAAGTAGGGTGAGGCCAGTTCTACATTTTTTCGGTTCATCTTTAACCTTTGGGTATTTGCTCAGAAATAAAGTTGTATTTTTGTTGTTATAAGCTTTTTCTTTCCTTTTTAAGGTGTAGAGCTTCTGAATCTGATAGCTATTAGTTATGGTAAAATATTTTAAATTTAGCCTTGAATTTATAAGAATATACTGATATATTGTGCTTCAAATAAGAAATCTGAAGATTAATCACTCATCACTCATAGAAAATGGTATAGCAGATTAGATATATAATTAGATGAATGTTTATAGAGACTAGATAGACAGGTAGATAGGTAGATAGATAAAATGGTATAAGCCTAATTATCTTCCTCAATAAAATTATATATCTTTTTCTGTATCAATAAATATTTTCTAATATTTATCTACATTGTTCTTGTTTCAAAAGTGCAGAAGAAAATGCCATTTACTAATCAAATGAAATTTCTTTTTTTTTAATCATCAGATGCTATTTTTTTTTCAATCTCATTGAAATTAACTGATTCAATCTCATTCAGTCTCCTAGGGTCTGGAAACACTTACTGTTCTTTGCATTAGCAGAGAAGAGTCTGCTCCTTTCTCTTTAAAACTTGATTTCATACTGATTATATCCTCAACAACGTCCTCCATCTAGCAAAATACAATATATTTAGAATATTGTGCATAAAGATAAAATGTGTTTCAGTCTGAATTCAGTAAGAAAATTTTAAGCAATCTTTAGAAGTTTTTTTTAGAATATTTAAATTAAGGTTACATGTGTATCAAAATCCAGAATATTTTAGAACTTAAAATAAAGTAATCCTGACATTCTTTGATCTGTGTCGCTTTTCCTTGCATTTGCTTCTACCAGATGGCAGGTGATGGCTGGGCAAATCACCCTGGGCTAGTCCCTTGGAAATCAGTATCTACATAAATAGAGTGGTTATCATGACTACCTCAAGTCAGAGCTCATATACTTAATGTATAGAGATGACTTCCTACAAATTTTATTTTCCTTTTAAAATATTTTGAAAGCAACTTACAAGTGGATATTCAAATATCAGTAGTCAAACTTTAGCCAATTAGTCCACACAAATAAAAACTACATTGAAATGTATTATCCATCTTTCCGTACTGATCACTAATAATAATAACAACAACAATATGATGAACAACAATAGTAATCACAGATACCTTAAATAGTAACAAACATATAATGCAGGAGATGTTAAAGGAGCTATTCCACATACTTTGCATTCATCAGCTCATTTATCTTTATGAAAACCACACGAAGTGGATACTATCAGTATCTCCATTGTACAGAGGAGGAAACTGAAAGAAAAAGTTCAATAACTTGTTACAGATTATATAACTAACAAGTGACAAAGTTAGAATTGAAATTCTGGATATCTGACTCTGTAGCCCTAACTTAAATCAGCTATTTACTACCTTTCTCAACTCCTGTCTAAACAGCTTTCCTTTCTGTCTGTACTACAGCTGGAGGAGGTTTTAAAGCTTATATTTTGTGAACATCATGTCCTTCTTGATCTCTCTTTCTCTCTAACTCTAGCTCTCTTCTCACCCGATATGTTCTCTTTAGTGAAATTTTAAAATATGACGAGAGCAAAGATAGTGGGGATGTTGAATTTACGTAATTGTAGTACTCTGATTTTCCCATGACATATGCAGAAATGACCAGGAGTAAACTCTCGGAGATTCACTGAAGTATTTTGTTCCTATTAATATTATTGTCTAAGCAAGATTTCTGACGACCTTAGAGAATCAAATGTTCACAGAATTCTACTAAGATATACTCCCAAAGGTAATACGCCAAAAAAAGGGAACACTATTCAAATGATAATTTAATAAATACTTTTTGAGCAATTTCTATTGCAAGACCTTGCTTTAGTGCTGGAGCACAAAGTCTGCCCTCATGGAGCCCAAACTATTGAAGAAACTGACAATTAAACAACTTAATAACAAACATTGGTCTCAAGAAATTAAAGTAGGTTGGGGATACAGCTTGATGGGAATAAGTGTTACTGTAGAAAATGGTCAAGGAAGGATTTACTGATATTTGAACAGAGATATGAGTAACATGAAGAAAGGGTAGTCCTTTGAAAGAAAGCAAAACAAAATACAGACCTCAAGGTAGAAACAAGCTCAGAGTGTTTGAGAAAGAGTGAGAGGCCAGTGGGAACAGAAGAGTTAGCAAGAGCGAGAGGTTTTTGAGACGAAGATAAATAGTAGGCAAGGAACTTACAGTGAAGAATCCTCTAGACTAGTAGCATCCAACTAAAATTTCTGCAACAGAAAGAATGTCTTATACCTGCACTTCCAATACAGTAGCAACTAAACACATATGGCTATGAGCACTCAAGATGTGGCTAATATTACTGAGGTACTGAATCTTAAATTTCATTCAATTTTTAAAGATTGCATTGAATTTGAATTAATTTAAAATTAAATATAAAAAAAACCAACATGTGACTATTGGTTACCATATTCCAGAGTGCAGCTCTAGGCCCTGTTCTGCACTTTGATGTTATTACATGTGCATCGAGAGATCTTTAAAGGATCTGGGATAATAAATACATATGTTTTGTTTCTTCTGGTTAGTCTACTGTCTGAAAGTTTTTATGTATATTATTGATTGTTACCAAACTCAAATTTTAACTTCATGATATTTTTCTCATTCATATTCTACCATTAAATGGACAACAAATTTGTACTGAACAGATACGAAGAAAGCCTGATGGAAGAAGGCTGCTAAACACAATGCATGAGAAATGCTTTACTTTGGAGTAATTCTGGTAGTTTCAGTAAAATTATGCATGCCATTTGTCCTTTTCTCTTTCTAGAAGCTTACATCATAAATGACCCAGTCTTTTGCATCTGTAATTTTTCCCTCTTGCCTATAAATATGCTCAGGTTTCTCCTATTCTGGAAGAAAATCCTTGTTTACTACATGTGAAAGTTTATCCTCCTTGGAGACTCTGCTTTTGCCTTTAACATCTCTATCCTTCATTTCTCCATGACTCCTCCATGAGTATCTTTTCCCTTAATTAATTGGAGACACTGTCTCTTTCATTATCCTAAATTGATTTTAAGATCTAAAATCTAACCCAAAACTTTGCTTCACTGCTTCTAGGAATCTTCATAATTAATCACCTTTGAATCCAGTTACTATTTTAAGAAAGATAACAAACACAACATTTTATATCAGAGGAAACAGAATTAACAGAATAGACAAAACAATTATGAATCAGCAGAATAAGCATTAAGCATTCTTCAAAGTGATATATGAAGATGATGAAATACAAAGAAAGATGTAATTTTTTTAAAGAACATAATGTTTTTTGACTAAAATAAAAATGTAGATAACAGGTATGGAAAGTATGAGATTCGAAAACAAAGGAAAGCGTTTGTAAGGTTTGAGAGATTAAAAGTGAAGGTCTACAAAAGACCAACATTCAAGCTTTTCAAGAATGCTGGGTTCAAGAAGATGATAGGGTAATATTTGACGTTTTAAAGGTGAAGGATTTTCAACCTAGACACTTACAACCAATGAAATATCCTTTAAGTTTGTGCGTGAAATAAAATTTTTCTTAGGTATAAAAACTCAGAAGTTTTTGACCTTTGGAAAACACTCTTTCAGGAAGTATACGAATCAGAATTAAGTAAAACTATGAAATCAATGCAAAATATAAGAATGAGTAACAGTAAAATGTTTATGGTTTAAATAATAAGAATATATATATTCTAAAAATACCAATTTAGGAAGATAGATGAAAACAAGAGGGAGATAAGATCTTACCCAGGTACTCAGGTAGAGTTTTACTTACGGGTATGACATAGATATTGCTAAACAATGATATAGTTACAGAAAAAATGTAACTATGTGTCTTAAATTAGGAGTAACGAGAGAGAGAAACTTAACCTGTCCAAAGAAGGCTAAAACAAAAATGGTAAATAAACAGAAAGCACCGTAATTAAAAAACATGAGAAAGATAACTCCTAAATCCTAGTGGTAAAGTAATTGTATGAATATAAATGAGTTAACATACTCATTTATTGTTCAAATTGGATTTTTAAAAGGTATTGTAATAGTGTGTCTTTAAGGGACACATTTACCATAAAGGAATAGAGAGAGTGGAAAATTAAGTGAAAGATTTCTGTCACAGCAACAGGTGAATGAAATCTAAGAAAAAAATAAATCAACGATTGTAATTGAATATTTTACTCTCAAAATCATAAATCTGAATTTAGCCTTCTTGTCACCTATTCTCTAGGCCATGGCCTAGGTCCTGTTATCCTCTAAACACTTCATTTCTGAAATCTTAAATTCCATTATCTCACTCATCAAATGCAATCTTCCTTTTAAATCCAATCTAGACCCCCTGAGGTAGATCAACTGAAGAGTTTTCATTTTATGACTCTCTATGCCTTTGCCCTATTATCTGTCTGCCCAACCATCCCAAACACCCCAGGAGTTCAATCTCTCCACTTCTTGTTAACTTTAAATTCAAAGTAGAATGGTTCTTGCCCACCATCCTACCGAAATTCCTTTTGTTGCTATTTTCTTCGAGTGCTTGACTGCCAAATTCAATAGATATTTATCTGTCCTTATTTTACTAGACTGCTGCCACCTTTGAGTGTGTGGGTCATTTCCTCCTTCTTTAAACCAACTCCTTCAGTGGCACCACCCTAGTTATCTTTCACTTTACAATCTTGTGCCCCTTAAATGTTGGTGATCTCTTCAAGCCCACCCTTGGTTCACTATACTTCTCACTGTATTTATGTTCTCCAGGAGCTCTCTTTCTCATCCAAGTTTTTAAGTACCACCCACAGGCTGACAATCCTTAAATCTCTTCCTCCAATCTAGATTATTCCTCCTTAAGGCAAACTTGGATATCTAGCTGTCACCAGCATCTCCACGTGGTGTTCTCACAGATATGTCAGCTCTAACATGTTCTAATATAGGGCCTCATGATCTCTCACTGCACTATAGAAATAGCCTTCTGACTTCCCCCACCCCTGCCACCGTCCTTCTAGGCTTTTTCTTCTACATAGTTGACAGACTGATATTAAAGTCAAATCTAATGATGTTACCCAAGCCCCCACATTTAAGCCTTCCAAGGATTTGAAATTAACTTAACATGGAGTCCCAGCCTTTCTGAGATTTGCCTATTGCCTACTTCTCTGGTGTCACCTTTTATCCTCATCTGCCTCTCATTTTCTGCTCACCTCATCTGTTTCCCATCTCCGTTCTTTGCTTATGCTACCTTACTTGGCTAAATATCCCACTGGCCATTCTCCTCTAAGTCTACCTGACATACTTCTGGAAAAGAACAGCACATCTACACCCCTATGTATACCACTGCCCTTTCTATATAATAATACGATTATTTGCTTACTGTTGGTTCCCTCTTTTTTTCAACTTAGAGCTCCTAGAGAGTACAGAGGATGAGAAAAACAAGACAAGGAATAATGAAAACGTAGCATGTGAAAATGCTATGATAAGATCAATTTTATTCACATGATATAGGTGTTACTATGAAAATGCAGAGAATAGGCACCTAATCCACACAGAGTATCCTCAGGGAAAGAATTTTAGAGAAGAAATCTGAAGTGAATTTTGAAGAATCAGT